TATATATATTTCACGTCTCGACGCTTCTGCATATCCAACTTAGCTCACTCATCGCCTACAGCCACCTGTCAACTTTCAGGAGGGCGATATCAACTGTTCGAGAAACGTTGGTTCAATGATAATTTGTGATATGTGCCTGAAAGTTTCCTACCTAGCGATCAGTACAACCGTCGACTTTCCAAATCACTAAAATGTAGCTGTTCCGTCTGCGTCCATCTGGCTGGTGTGATATTAACAATTTTCTTTCCTTTCCACAGACAATATGGCTTGGGTATCAACTGCTGTAACTATATAATCAAACAATCAGAAAAGGTTTTTGACAAATATATGAGTCTTCTGAAAAAGACCAAAAAGGCACGCGCGGAAGCCAAAAGTGATATTTTTGTGCGCGCTCTAGCTATGTTGTCAATCGCTACCAATTTCGGACTCGACGTTGCACTAGAACTTGAACAACTTGAGGTGAGTGGTGAATATTAATAACAATGTAACTGATAATAGTACTTATGAGTAGCATCATTATCATCATCGTTGTAACCATCGCCATCAAAACACCTTCCTGCCATGAGAATAAGCCTTCTTTAGAAAGGCCCGGTCACGGATGGAACGTATGGATAAAGGTGTGGAGCGTAAGGAAACATCAGCCACGTTTCTTTAATGGATATTTAGTCACCAATTGACTTATAAAGATTTCTAGCGCAAAGCAATTAGCCGTTTCCTATGCTTTCAGTTTGCCCGATTTGTGCGATATGACAGGAAAGTAGCGGTGATTTCACCTGTCCTCTGCAAATGAAACCCAGTGTATTTTTGTCAGCTGCTTATAATTCTGATATTTACGTTGCTGGCTTCTACGACGGGCTTACCAAGTCGTGCTATTAGCAAGCGTTATCTGACCATTTTGTACATCAGTAATTACGTAGTTATTCAAGCTGGAGCAAAGAGAATGGAAATTGCAGCTGGGATTGTTTCTCAATCTCTCACTTCGTGGAAACAGGTCCCTCCTTCGAAGATGACTTCTAGCTTCACAACCCACTCGTCTTCGCCAACCGAGTTGTTGAAAGATTAAATGAGTATAAGGCGTTGTTCTTGGAGGATGATAATGCGAGAAGTTTTGAAGTCTTTTTTGACTACGCTGGGTTGCGCAGCGCCAGCAACTGAGCACGTTTGAGCCACAAGCTTCTCTTTCGAACTAACTATTCAGTACGAGGCCTGATGTAGGCTAGGATGAACTTTGGTAGCAGTGGTCCTTCCATTGTCCAAGGAATGTGTTATATTAGCCATACGCTTTCAGTTTCTGTGTCCACTGTTTTCTGACATTTGGAGGTATTGCCTACGTCTTACTCTACCATGACTCCCAGGTTCCTCGTAGTTTGTACTTTGAATTACTTGTGAGCCCATTTGTCAGAATCTGGGTTCAGAACAACAAAGAGAGAGTACATAAATTACGTAAATATTAGACGACAGGTCTTCCAGTGAGCATTCGAAACTTTGTCCTGGCTTGCCTTTCTAGGAAAACGTTAAAAGTCGGGTTTGGGCTGTTCAGTGACTATGGCTTGAGCACTGGCTGGAGAATGGACAGCGAAGCGTGACTTAATTATTGTTCGCCCTCAAAGACTTGTTGATTGACTTCTTTGGCACACTACATTTCAGATGAACATTCGCTGAATTTTTGGCTGCCATACCTTGTCACCACCGGCATTCTTGAATTTTCTCGTTAGTGGGCCGTAACATCAAATTATTTTTTTCTCAAGCAGCTTTTGACTGCAGAGCGTTAGCCGAGGTGGTCTTGCAATTGTTTCTTTGAAATTCAAACTCATAATTCATATAATACATATTATACATATAATACATGTATATAATAATANCAGAGTGTATAGCCACTGATTACGGTGACTCTAGAGCCGTCCATGCATTGGAATGATGTGCATGAATGTGTTGGTACCTTTGAGACGCATCCTGGTCAGCCTTTCGTTCCTTCGGAATTTCTCAGTGTTGCCGGTGTAAAGCACTCTCAAACAAGCATGAACCTGCTGCGTCTGAGTGTCCCTCTTAGTGAGAAGATAAAGTAACGAAAACAAATGACTTCGCGTAACAAGATAAGGTTCGGACATCCTTATAGAAGACGAAAACTGCGATATTTGCCAAAAAAAAACACGATACACAATTTCTTCTTTTCTCGACCAATCTCCTCCAGAGGAAAGGAATACGCGTCCAATGTCATGGCGAAGAGGTGAAGTTGAAACTGATTATCACTGGAATTCCTTTATTCGAAGAAAAAAATAAACCATCTAGAGATCCGTTGTGCAGTCGTCAATACAAGCCAACAGCTAGTCAAATCAGCATTCTACTCCCATTTGTTGCTTAAAATCTAGGAGGCGGTCAGCTGGTTCGAATATTTCAACAACTCGCGAGTGACGTTTCCCGTGGAGCACGATGGAAATGGCTTGGTTACAAAGATCATTGTGAAAAAATGCCAGTCCTTTTAGGAGAGAAAATACTGCTGACATCAGCGAACTGAACTAATTTATTCGGTTATTTTTTTCTTTCGTTCATTTCTTTCCTCCATAAGAAGCTGCTTTTCTTACTGCTACTGGAATGTCTCGTTATACACCTGATTATGACCGGTTCACTCACGCGCCAGTTTTGTGCCTAATTGTCCGGTGATAAAATGCCCGACAATGTGCTGCTAGGTCAACAAACGGGTCTGCGATAAACTGGGCTGGCAATCAATTTTTATCAACAGATCGTACCGAGCATATCACCAGAGTGCTTTCAGAAAGATCTGCTATAAAGTGTCCTTTCAAAAGGAAATAGAATCTGAAAAGCGGCTACCACATATTGGAGACAGGCTTTACGGCGTCCGAGTTGTCGACCCACACAAAATATTCGAAGCTCTGCGTTTTGTTCTTCAAACAAAGCGTAGACCTGTGCCGTGGAACGTGGCAGCCATGAAGCGCCGGTTAAAACTGTATGCTCCGTTTACCCTGCCAAAAACGTTGGTGGATGGATATTAAAAAAAAAACAGATCAGGGCCAAACAACTACTAAGATACTACTTTTCTGCCTTTTTCCAGAGCGCCACAGCTCATTCGACTAACCCTCACTGGTCTTTTCTGAGGAGTAGTGTCTCTGGCCTGCAACCTCCCTGGAAAGAGACCAATGTATTAGGTAAAGACTAAATCAATGACCAAGCTTCCTCCAGTCCCAAAATGGAGTGTTGTCTCCTGGAGGTGTGTATTTTTTACCTACAAATTCTGTCAAAGAATGACTGACAGTTTACGGCACAATTAGTACACACACAGAAATCCTGCGACAGGTGGACGAAATCAACGCAATTTCCAGGACCAACCCACGAACAACTAGGGTGTTTAGATGGCCATCGCTCCCGCGTTAAACCTGCAGGTAAACTAATTGGCCAAAACTAAGATACTACTTTTCTGCCTTTTTCCAGAGCGCCACAGCTCATTCGACTAACCCTCACTGGTCTTTTCTGAGGAGTAGTGTCTCTGGCCTGCAACCTCCCTGGAAAGAGACCAATGTATTAGGTAAAGACTAAATCAATGACCAAGCTTCCTCCAGTCCCAAAATGGAGTGTTGTCTCCTGGAGGTGTGTATTTTTTACCTACAAATTCTGTCAAAGAATGACTGACAGTTTACGGCACAATTAGTACACACACAGAAATCCTGCGACAGGTGGACGAAATCAACGCAATTTCCAGGACCAACCCACGAACAACTAGGGTGTTTAGATGGCCATCGCTCCCGCGTTAAACCTGCAGGTAAACTAATTCATGTGTGCGCCACAGCACGAAATGTAACTAGCAAAATCGGGATAAGTCAATACTGCAACCAAATCGATGAAATTCCTGGAACCCTGAACGCAAGGTTATGTATACCAATCTTCAGAAGTCACACAGGGATATGTTTCCCGCGCTCACCTCTAAGCGAACCGCCAGTACTGACTGATGGGAACTCGAGGTATTTAGTAGGTACCTCTTGTGATCAGTTTTCAGTATTGAGTTTCTCGAGGGATCTCCCAGGGAATCTAGGGCGAATCCAGTCCCTCTGTTGATGCGGATAAGGGTACGCTCACGAACGTCATGGACGCATTTCAGCTGGTGAAGAAACTTCGACTCGTTAGGTCTTTTAACTCAGTGTTTAATTCCACAATCTTTCCGCTCTTCATTACAGAATGAATACACCAAAGCAATGGTAAGTCAATGTGTTTCTACTTCAAGGATCTAAGTTCGATGCTAACTCCTGCTCTGAGGAGTCCTTTAACATGAGGTCACATGGCTTGAATAAAGTGTATTCGGCAAAAATCTCGTCAACTATTACCAAATGTTGCCATTTTCCTACACCCTGGCGTCTTTCTACGTTTTTATTGTTTCACGCTTCTGCTGGTTAGCTGTTGACTCTACTTGGAAGTGTGAGACGCTCTGGGAAATTTTAATGAAGATTTCGTCCTTCGAGTGAAGCCACTTCGTGCCGCAAAGCCTGGAAGCACGGTAGAGTTGTTTTTGCCCTATTGGTAATCACCAGTAATGCGCCTGTCACAAAATTCTGTATATTCTCGCACCGTTAACCCCCCACCAATTGTTTGAACACCCAACCGTTCAACCATGAGTGGCGGTGCCCGGGAGATTACTGGTTCGATACTTTCTGGGGTTCCGTCAAGTGCACTGATGATGATTCTCAATAGAGAAGAAACCACTTCTTGGCTTTTCAGCTTAGATTTGCTTCACTTACAGGACCAAATCTCCACTATTTGATTTTCAATTAGATTCACTTGTCAAAGGTTGTTTATTCTCATATTAAAATACTATATTTTTTTGGCGACCAGGTGTTTTTGCATCCCGAAACGTCCGAAGTTATTCACGTGCATTTTGATAAGTGTGGAGCATCAGCATAAGTCCAAGAGGAATGAAGAATACTAGTTTTGTTGTTGACAGGAGCAACTAACTGATGACTCACATCCTCACCAAACAAGCGCTTGTTTCCCGTCTTTTCCATAAAGACATACCGTAATATTCAGCAAAATCTGATGTTGGTTGGATTGAGGCAGGGTATCCTTGGAATCCGGTCCCTTCTGTGTACAAGTCAATAGGTCTCTTGTTTTTACCATGTCTGGTAAGTGAACAAATGGTGAATTGCTCTTACCCCGTAAGATATGAGAATTTCCAGGCTGCCACTATATGTCGTAACCGGCCCTTACTTCTTAGCGATCAATAGAGATTGGTTGAGCAGTGATTAGGAGAACACAGAATTTGTCAACAGTCGTTGAATGAAGGTCCACGTTTATATTACATCGCCATTGAATGATTTAACTATTGATGGTCACGATGAAAAATACAATTCCCTATTTGGTACAGTAGGGTGCAGTCTCGGTAACTAACTCAGAATAACTATGGAGAATTATTCAGGTACGTTTCTCCGTAGTCATTTTATGGACACAAATTGACTCAGAACGTGATACGCTGAAGGCAGGGATTCGAATTGTTATCATGATTCATACTAATTGAATATCATCTAACGGGCAAAAACCCCATGCTTCCCCTCGTTTCACCAGCAGCAAACAATCTGATATTGAGTCAGCTGGAGTCGGGTGCGCCAAACTAATTTTCACAAGCTTTTCAGGTACGGTGGAGATGTGTGGATGAGAAACTTGTGGTACTACAGAGATACCGAATTACCATCAGAACTCCTCTGCAGCGAGCGTGACAACGCCCATCATACTGATTGACTTGAACGTGGTGACATTGTCTTACCGGTTCTAGACTATGCCATCAACCCTAGAGAGTGCATAAGTCTGAGAATCAGTACTTGCCGAAAAACTACAGCTGCTGACCGCTATTTGCATTTAAAATGGTCACCTTTTGTACACGATGATAACAGTGACCCGAAGTCTAGCTAAACTGCCAACTCAGCTCTGTTCTAACATCGAAACCAGGGGCGAAAAAAGGCGACTGAAGGCCCCATAGCTTCTAGGGTAGGTTCTGCTGATATCACTAGAAATATCTGTGGCCATGCACGGAACATATCTACAGAAGTGGAACTTTCGAAGCATATGTGACATCCTGAAATTATAAAGTACGAGGCGTTATTTTAGAATCAATGGATAACACGCTGGATAATCGCCTAAACAGGCATACATAACGGGTACCCAAAAAGAACAAGGTGGACTGTAACTATAGACCGTGTAAAGTGATCGTTTTAAGTCTGAGCTATCCTGTCAAAGTTATCTTTGTGTAACAGTCGTATTGACATGCACATCAGTCGATGTATCGTTACTAGTGAGTTCAACTATATTTGCCAGATCAACTTTGACCTGAAAAACATGGAAGCCTGGGGCGATTTCGGTCATTTCGAGGTTCGTTCCGAACTGGAATCTAAAAGGGGAAATTTCACCCCAAGCACATGGGAAGCCACATCTGATGGATGCAACTTACTGGAATACGAAGCATTCACAAAATTCGATCCTTGGGATTTTCGACTAGGAAACATTAATGAAAAACCTCGGTCTACTACCAGTGTACTTCGAAGAAAGAGGTTAGCTTGGATTAACACCAGACTAATCTGGGAAACTGGATCACCAGCATGTTGTTGATAATTTGTCGGAAACTCATTGTGGCACTTGCCTACGAATGTCTCAGTTTGCATAGAAGCCGGTATGAGTAACGTTTCTCTGGCGTGCACCTGAGCATTATTTGAAGTTGGTCGAACAGAATTTTCTTCCGTTTCCTCAATAACGCCGAGAAAGTCGTCATCTAGAAACAGCCTGTTTACCAACTGACAATATCTGCCCTAGCCTGTGAGATCGAGCGCGTACATCTTGGGCGCTTTTAATTCCATTTTCATTTTCATTCAAAACTCCTAGTCTGATTTCATTCCACCAAGAACTGCTTATCATTGTGTTCACTTCCCAAATAGTCCCAACTACACTTGTTGCACCATCAGCCATTATCACCACATTTGGCTTAAAAGTCTCATATATGACGAACTTCACTTACGGCCAGGATTTCGAAATGTCTTCAGTACCGAAAATTTTCGTTTTTTTTGTCAAAGCCAGTTGGATTGTTTGGCTGTATACTGATGCAAGAGTCTCTCAAAAGGAGGCTTGATTTGGGGAGGGGGGTTTCACACTTCACAGTTTGATGAATTAATCGGTCCACTAGTGATTTAGTACAGATACTCGGGTCGAACTGACTTTTTCAAAGATTTGGTATGGTTTACACGGACCACCCAGTAAGATAAACATTTCGTCAGTTGGTTGGGCTCACCAAGTGCGGAATTGTAATTTGGGAGCCAGCCCACGCCCGATCGCATTACGTGAATTGTGTGGTCAGATGATAGCGGTCCCTATCCCGTCTGAGTACGAATTAACCACACTGCTGACATATCACTTGCGGCCAGATGACTGGGTGCACAGCCCAGTCGGAGAGTTGCCGGTCTGATTCCCCATCGAGAATCCTCAAATGCGAAATATTGATTGTCACCAAAAAGTGTATGGCACGCTCAGACCTCTACGCATGTGTTGCCTTTATGTGTGGGATGAAATCTAACTTTTGAACTTTGAAGCCTTCTGATCAAGTAAGAAATGGAGGGGGGAATTCCCATACATTGTATCTGGGATCGCCTGGATAAAATGAATGTTCAACGCAGCAGCATTCATGATTGACCATGTTTTTTGTTAACAAGCAGCTGCTCGACGCCAATGTCTTGTATGCTGATTTCACCGATTGATGTAATTTTTTCCCATTTGTAAAAGCTGATAAACAGATCTGTTTAAGTTTTCCATCCATTTCTATCTTTTGTAGAGCAAAAGAGCACGAGCGAGCCTGCATGATGATAAGCTAAGTGTTTCCAGCACACACAGCTGGAGAAAAACACTGGGTCAGAGTGGTGCTGAATCCAAACCAAAACGCGGGAGAAAAGGTGAAAAAGGAATGGTGCCGGACACAGAAGCAGGATTCAGCAGCGAAGAGGAGCAGTCAGAGAAACGAGAGCAAGGCGAGGAAATGGAACAAGAGAAGGCAGAGAAATTGGAGCAGGAAGAAGCTGAAAAAATAATACAAGAACAAGTGGAAAGTGAGCTTGATAAAGCGGAGCTAGAGGAAAAACTCAAGGAAGAAGAGTTGTCCCCAGAGGAACGGAAACGTAGACGTGCACAAAAAAGGGAGGAAATTGAAGCCAAGGTTCGAAAAAAAATTTTGGAACAAAAAGCTCGTGATCGCACTTCTGCACGTCAGAGAACAGAGCAGGTGATTAGAAGAACGAGTTCTTCTGGATCGGCAATACCGCCAGCACGATCTGAATCAGGGGAGGTCCAATGGGAAGGAGAACCGGGAGTGTTAGGTCCCAGCCGCATACTGGCCAAAAAGCGTATGTTGCAAGAAAAGGATACAGTGAGCAGTTCGAGTCATGAAAAGTCCGCCAGAGAACTTGAGGAAGAGATCACGATCGCCAGACACGATGTCAAGCGGCGAAAGAAACCCAGGGGTTATGAAGGAGAACGAAAACCAGTAACACGAAAATCGCCGTTTCGGATGGAAAAGGAAGAGACGGTACCTTCTAGTAAACATATCAAAAGTGGTGAACCTGCTGAGCTTCACTTGCGGCCGCCCGCCAGTCTAGTGGAAATGAAAGTTACGAAAGAGGAAGAGGAAATCGTGGAAGAGGCTGCCAAAATACCACTTATTAAACTCCCCACGGTGCCAAAACCGATAGACCGCTCTTCGGTTACATCGTTCCTGAAAGAATTTCTTGAAAAGCAAGGTCATACCGTAGACTCAGGACTGGTTCCCTCAGTATCGCTCAAAGCTTTGGCGGGCGCTCTGCAAGACCCTCGGCGGATGGCCGAGGCTGAACGTGTGATTGATGTCATTCAGAAGTATGTTTTCTGGATACCTCTATTTTTTATAACCCGTGCATCAAGACAATCAAAGTTCACGTCCAAAGTGAATATGTTAATAGGGTGTAGGTGTTGTGTTTGTAATTTACTTAGCGGCAAACGACCACAATGGATGGTAATCTACGTATAATTCGATCAAACCAACTTATATTCTGCGTCCGTAGCAGTTTAACAGCTGTGTTGGCAAATATGGTCCATGCGCCTGCATCAGCTAGATCACAGAATCTTTTGTCTGCAATTGCAACGTCTCACCTGCTTATAGTGGTTCTGTGTAACTTGTATCCAACTAGTGGTCGGTATATCGATGGTTGCGCAGTTACTTGCTAAAAGATCAGGGCAACGAGTACGAAACCCTATTCTGGTGCAGTGATTTTCCATCATATACAAACGCTCACTAAGTAAAACAGCTTACTCTTCAAAGGGAATTTAATCAACAGAGAACACCCGACCAATCAAAATATAAAAAACTTAACGATAGCCCGAGGACCAATCCGATCGAAGTTTAGAACACCTGACGTATTCTTGAAAGCCCAAGTGAGCCCAAGAGCGAAATCACAAGCCAGGAATTACGAATTCTTGAGGTTTATCAACAAAATGTGGTGCTGCACATACAAAATGCCCATATAAAAAGGACGCAAATCTCAAATTATGGGGATTTCCGTCTGATTGTTGCACGCATTAATGGAAGTTCAAAGAAAGCCCGGTAAGAACGGCAACTCGGTGTGCATAGAAGATAAGCATGCGCGCACAATACGTGGTAACGCAAGTGATCAAAAGGCGCGCAGGAGATTTCGTCAGTATTGGTTCAACATGTTAAGGGTCAAAAGATCATGTGGGATTGTAGGCGAATATCGAATACACGCAGCAGACGCAGAAAACCGTGGGTTCAAGCAAGGGAAGGGTGTGACCGATAGAAAGGAGGTAAACAAAGGATGAGAAATTAAAGATAGAAGCTAACAAATTGAGTGGAGGAAAACCAGACCAGAAGGTAAGAAGGAAGCGTAGGGTGCATAGAGAGGGCTTCTCAAAGCAAGCGGTATTACAACATTCGAATCACACGGTTTAACGGGCGTGAACAACCACTCTACTGGAGTATTTTCCCCAGAGTCGTTTGGAGTACTTCAACATCAGTAGTCTGGTAATCCCATCAGACCTGTCTGATTATTCAGTGACACTAATGTTCCCACAAAATGTTTTTGAAGATCCGCCCATACACAACTGCCACGTCGCTGATCAATAAACTAGGACGAATCCCACTACGGCAGTATATCGTATACCCCTAGCAGACAAACTGATATCCTAATGTCACCAAAAATGAAGGAGGGTGACAGGTTCCCTCCCACACCTTTACTTATCAGGGAGTGATACCGTCCGATGCATCTGAGATCACGACATTCCAACAAACCAGCTTTGCACTGGAACTTTTGTAACTGTGCAGCAAAACTATTTGGAGGCAGTTAAACTAGTCTGCATTTTCGAAAGATATGATTAAAAAAAGAATGATACAACCACGAAGAGACTGAACTGTACCGTTTGTGTACATCGGCGACCCACTGAGCTATACTGGGGGGGGGCGTGTCCGCGCGACACTCGCATACCAGGTTGGTCAATGGTTAGAGGTCTGACGAATGCGGTCTCCTGGTCCTCCAGACTGGGGGCTGGAAAATGTATGGCGGCTTATTCCGTAAAACGATAATGTATTTGCAGTTCCAGTCAAACACCGCTGACTTGCGATCAGACTTTTGGGTCGAAGGCTTTGGTTGAGTACCCTAATCGTCTTCCTGTCTAGATGCGGGCACCCTCACGTTATCCCAGCCCACGTACAACCACGAATTACATTACAGAAGTGAAGCGTCAGCGTTGGACACTGATGTCATGCTGTCAATGATGATGATGATGATGATGAATCGGGTGACGTTTAGAGTGAAATGTAAGTTGAATCCATATGTATTTAACATATTCGCATAACATTCGAAGACGGACCCACTTGCCCATGAGCATTCGTGTCCCGTTTGCTAAGTTCCATGCAATCATACCGACAATTAGAATCACATAACTGTCGTCAGAATGGAAGACCGCAACCCACACTACAGAGCCCCTATTCTGCCCAACGTCGTTTTGGTGTGCCGAAGTTGACACTGCATCGTGCCGGTCAGTAACAGACTTGTGCAGCTGTTGACTTTACGAAAATGGAAAACTGAGGTTTGTTGTATACCCTTGTGTAAGTAGTACCGCAGAATTTCGAACCCAGTTGTTCCTTTTGATATTCGGGATTGTCGAACCTGCGCATCATTCATAGTTCCGTATCGGGAACCTCAGCACTATGTATCCTCTTACGGACAGGTAGGAAATCTCAAATGGAGCCTCATTTTGTCCCGTCTGCTCTCAAAACTCCATCTTGTGGTATATAAATAACCAGAAATTCATTCAGTTCACTTAGACTAGTGGTGCACTGGTAAGTGTTAACTAATTAATCCCGAAACATCCGCTTATATAGTCACATATTCTTCACAGTAAGTTTTAATAGGGGTCCAGCATCGTAGTTTCCATGATAACCTGTGTTATTTTCAGCGGCACTACCTTCGTGTTAAACCAAGTAAGCGTGAAATTTCCTAAAAACCAGGACTGCCTTCTTCCCGTTTTTTTTTCAATCACCTATAGGGAGCTTGGAGTAGACGAATCAGATCCTATTCTACTGATAAAAAGAATGAGAGATCAGATGGATGGGATTCCTGAATCGAAATTTCAGCCATTTAATAAAATGATCAACCTCCTGAGCGTATTCCTTGCTGTGGAGTGTGAGCAGGCGGCGGCAGATGACACTGACCGTGAGAAAGGACCCCCAGTAAGTGAGTCGGGCGGGTTGGCTACATCCAGCCCACTTTAAGTGTGGTTTAGTGCCAAACATGTTGCATTTGTGAACAATGGATTAGACAGTTTGATCCAGTAGGAAACTGTTTCACATGCTTTTTCACCGGATGTAAGTGTGAAAAATTGGGACAAACTTCTGGACTTTCTCGAGAATCATCGTGCAGCGATTTGAGTAAAACTCAGAATCATCTCAGAATCACTGTGGGTTAAATCAAGTACACCCTCAGAAACATGATACAGGGTGCATTAGTGCTTCACCAAAACTCAACAAACACTGCAAACAGTTGATAACTCCTCGTCATATCTAACTCCTGAATCAATTTTGAGGTCACCGCTATCAAGGATGCCCCAACGTAGGAACTGACGTCAGTGATTTGGGATAGTTCCACCAAACAACTCACTCCACCTTTTTGTTACGTATGATGAATACCGGGTCACAATTTGTGCAGGTCTAGCAGCTCTGGAAAGCATCTATCCTGGATACTTCTGCAGTGGACTAATTCGACTTCGGAAGATGGCCTCTTCATTCTTAGCAATTAAGCATGTTGGTAGGTCAGTAAGCAAGCAACTAAGTAGCTAGGTGAGCAATCAAGTGAACGGGCACTTAGGGAACAAGATAGTACTCATTTTCATATATGGCTCCTTCTGGAGAGCTCATATGAAGAGATACCCCCAACATGATATGCTTCGGAAAAAAACATCTCCTTCTGAAGCCTCAGAACTCAAATGTATGTTCATCATTAGTTTCGTGTGAGATTTTCCCAGGTTATCAATCCATTATTACAGCATACTTCCAGCTGAAAGTCCTCCTACTTCTTCTCAACCCCATCGTACTCGAATATCCTAGTTATTATGCGAAATTGCTCACCATGCATATGTTCATCTGGATTCGATTATATGACCTCACGTTTTGCCTTCATGCATCACTCACAATTATTTCCACAGATATATGTTAGTCGCCATGCTTTCCATTCATACTTGTTGTAGCGCAACTACACATCGCGAACTTACATAAGGGCGAATAATACTGCCAGGATGTTTATGTTCCTAAACCTCCACTCCATATCTGTTCCAACACAGCTTACTTTTTTGGGACAAGCTGAAGCCTCGCGTCAACGCCAGAAACTACTGATGGCTATGGTGGATGATATCGTTTCTCAGTTGAGCTATGAATACACTATGTTAGATGACCTGTCGCCACAACAACGAGCCGTTTGGCTGACGCTAGAGACGCAAGCAGATTCGATGAAGGAAACCTGTGAGAAGATTGGATTTTTGGTTAGGTGAGCCGTCGAGTTGAGTGTATTTTTTAGAAAGACTACTGACGAAACCGGAACCGAATCACAAGCTGTTTGTTGTAAGTATACTTTTGGGGCGATATTTGGTGTTCCTAGGTGTGGGTTGAAAGTAGCTTCAGCTGACCCCAGCTTCCGGATACTGTCCGACTCACTGTGGCATGCATTTCAATTCACAACAGCGTGACCGCTCACGTGACATCACCAGACACATGTGCGACCTTCTCGGAGTTCTGATTGGGCCGCTGGACGGTAATGTGAGCAGACAGGATGAGTGAAGTTTGGGACCAGACACATGTTCTTCTGTACTGTGACAAGATTTCCAACCAGATAGAACAAGTGAAATGATATAGAAATAGGTCTGTCATGCCTGATAAAGCCTGAGAACGGACTGTGTGGGGTCTTGACTGGGACGCGTCGTAAGTGAAATTCGTCTGGGTTCAAAAGCCCCCTAACAGGTGTAGATTGATAAATGTCGCCAAGGGGCGAATGTTTTCATCAAAACTAGACAGCTCTTTCATCGTGTCTGGGCCTAGCGATCGCTGAACCAGAACAAAAGGGACGGGTTTAGGTCACTTTATGTCGATCCAATTAAGACTCTGGGTCGTTATGGTATGTCACATTATCAGAGCCTGTTCGCTACCATAGCTTGTAACCTAGTAATGTGTAATTTCTGACTCACTGGG